CATGACAAGGACATGACAAACACATACACATGCTTTTCCTATTCTTACACTTGTAATGTAATTCTCACACATGTGTATGGAACCTCTACATCGTGTAAAACAGGCTAAAGAGCTAAAGGGTTCAGTGACCCCACTATAATGGGTTAAGTAGCTCTATTCAATTGATGCTGATTGGTTCTCAGATCCAATAGGGGATGAAGTACAGGCCCATGAGCAATAACCAGATCTGAAACCAAATAATTATAGGTATCTATTTAAAAATTTTTTTACAAATTAAATTTTTTTTTAGGTCCTGACACAGATCCCCTCCTGATCGGAACAGATGTCACTGTTGTGAATTCCGTGTCTGTGCCGTTTTTTTTCCTCTGTCCTGCAATGGAGGAGAAAAACTGACATTACCGGACCCATGTTACTGTATAGGTAAGCTGGATCTAAATGAACGAGCGTCCATTTACATCAGTTTACCCCCAATACAGCATGATCAGGTCCGGCGACATGGATCTCTGATCAGTTTGTTTTTCTGGACCTGGTTGGAGCCGTGGGTAACTGGACGCCCGTCCATTAAGATCCATCTGCTCATACACCAACATCGGGCTTCTGATCAGGTCCGCCTCAAAAACTGGCAGACGGACCGGATCAGAAAGCCTGTGTGAAAAGGCCCAGAAAATAGCAAAGCTCATCTACAACTGCTGGAACCAGGAAAACCAAATCAAAAGTGAACAGTTGCCCATGACATTCCCATCATGGCAAATAATGGGCAGATCTGGGCAACTGCCTTACTCCTGTCCCAGTGTCCTATGTACCAGTCATTGTAGATCAGCCACCACCATAGACATGTACAATCTACATACAGTATATACAATAAAGCTTTTACACTACTGAGGCTTGACCCGTCCTAGAAATATATCTATATCTTTGTTGTCTGTGTTTTCTGTCTTTCAGTGCAATGCAATTCCCAGGAAGAGGAGTTCGTATTTGAGAAATCAAGGTCAAGCAGATACGACAGTATCAGTGTTTAGAATAAAAAATAATGACAGCAGAATGTGGCTTTGTTTCCTGAATATCTGTATTTAAAGAGCAACCTCGAGCCAATAAAATAGCAAATTAACAGCCAGGAATTTACAATTACTACACCAGAAAATTGAGCCAGCAGCAGGTTGTCAAAGATTACCGGCAAATCTAACCGTCTAGAGCCGCATATAGTAACAGCGCCTTGGGATAGGTTGGATGCCACATGTGGCACTGCATGCCATGGTTCCTGATATGACACCATCATGTCCATGAGTGAAGTAGCCACAGCATGCAGCAGGAGATGCAGCCTCCAACATACCCAGCAGTGTCAGATACCAGCTGTGGCTGGTGGGCATCAGTGATCTTTCTTTACAGGCCGCTGCTAGCTCGGTTCTTTGGCGCAGTGACAGGGTGGTTAATATCAAAAACAGCTTTTTAGCATGCCGAAGCCTAGCATAGGCATGTTAAAATGTCATGACCATGCATCAGCTTAGTGGTTGGCACTGCTGCCTAGCAGCACTCGGGGATCCCCAGTTCAAATCCCCGTCAGGGCACCATCTGTATGGAGTTTGCATGTGCTCCCTGTGCTTGAGTGGGTTTCCTCCGGGTACTCTCCCACACTCCAAATATATGCTGGAAGGTTAATGGGCCATGTACTGTATGTGTGCACAATAGGGAGCGTAGATTGTAAGCTCCTTGAGGGCAAGAGCTGATGTGAATGTGCAGTATGTAGAGCGTAGCGTAATTTGTCAGCAGCACGGTACAAATACCTGAAATGGAAAAAATAAAATATGCCAGGCATGGTATATATTAGGGATGCACCGAAACCAAGTACCATACTCGGTACAAGTACAGATACTTTCGCAGCTACAAGACAACACTAGAGAAAAACTCAAAAGTTAGGAGGCAGCTGTCATATGTAAGGAGCACACGGAGCTCCCGGGATTTGTACATCTCTGTTTTATTGTATGATTTTGTTTTTATAAATACATATATGTGATGCACCGGTATCATTTTTCCAAGTACTGATACTTGTCCAAGTCCTCACAGATACCAATTACTGATACATTTTTGTTTAGTGTCATGTGACAGTTTCTCTACAACAATACAGACTAATGATTTCAGGACAGTGGTGGAGCGCCAGAGCCAGGTCCCAGCTGCAACCGCTGCAACTCTGATAGTTCTCATGAAAATGCCAAGTATCTGCACTGGTATCGGAAAAGTATCGGTGCATCCCTAGTATTTATGGCATGTCCATGGCTAGCAGAATACTGCAGACATATTGGTTGTAGTATGCTGAAATACTAAGACATTAGGAAACCAGATGTCCCTGCCCTGACCAGGGCATACACGACCCTGTCTGAAGAGTGCATATAGCAACCTTAAAAAAAAACGGAGAGTTCACTACAATGTCCCGGGCTATTGTCCCGGGCAGGACAAAAGGAGAACTATTGACCAAAAAATATCACGGACCATTGCCCTGAGGTCAATGCCAAATACATTTTTCAACAGTAAAGAAAATCCCTTTGAATCCAAAAATGAGCAACTCCTAACCAACTATAAGTGGAAAGTGCACACGGACCATAAAAATACAGATGAAGCGGATATACATTGCCCTGCAAAAAAATCTCTAATTTGTGCATGAGCACGAACAATGATCATGTTTCCAAACAGCTCCAACTCTCTCAGCTCAGCTTCCCTGAAATTCCTGCCCAGTACAAGATCACAAGAGACAGAACCACCTCCATATTTGCTCATTATGTATTGTAGGATAGGCTTCTTGCTTAGTAATGCTGCACCATGGCTGTGCTGGACTGTTCTTCTCTCATGGATCAGGTCTTTGTGAACACAAAGTACTTTCCCTTTGGCCATGATTAGCTGTGATCAGAGAGGGCGGATTAATACAATACATAGAGCCACTGGAAAGAGAGTCTAATACTCTCCATATGTCACACAATATTGGAACTGGGGAACAACATGTACAAGTGTGATACACCCAAAACTACTTTAAAGTAGAACTCCAGACAAATCAAATCTTAACCCTTGGGGTGGAGCTACCCTCGCACTGCAAGGGTTAAGTGTTCCTTTCACCTAGGGAGCTAATCACCTGAACCTCAATCCCACCTTACTCCTAGACCGTTCCCTTCAGCCTCGCTCCACCTCCACTCCAGCAGTCTAAGGTCCTGCAAGTGACCATGTCCTACACAGTGTATAGAATGTTAGGGTGCCGAGGGCCATAGCATCGCTGGAGCAGAGGAGGAGACAGGCTGGAGGGAGCGGTGTAGAAGCCAGTCGGGATTGTGGTTCGGGTGAGTAGAACTGTCATTTCAGCTCCATGGACAAAACGAGCACTTCACCCTTCTAGCGCAGGGGTAGCTCCATTGCAAGGGTTAAGATTTGATTTGCCCAGAGAACTGGCTTTAAAGTAAACATTACAATAACTCAAAATGTTCTCACTGCGGAAAGATTAAACCAGGTTCTCTTATTCACCGTCATGCAACTGTCCCTGCACTAGAATAGAATTCATTCTAAATGAGACCTCAAACAAACATCCCCAACTCACCACTATGGATCCGCTTTCCAGATCAGCTCTGAGCACATGAGATGTGGGAAGAGTGCAGGTGCGTAATGAAATCTGTTGGTGACCTTCAAAATGAATGGGGTGCCTTACCACCATGCACATTAGAGCGGACCTATTCCACCTTTCACTAAAAATCACATCAGGGTGCAGCTCTGCATGCCAATATGAAATCACCTCACATTCATTAAACCTATTTTTCTTTTACTTACAATTACTGTTTTTACACTTCCTGGTCCTCTTGGGCATTAGTGATGTAACCTGTGACCAAGCATTGCATCCTGGTAGGGTTACATCAGCAGAGCATTGCTGGGAAATCTCATGAGATCTCAGGCAAAGTCATTTCCCTCCCCTGAGCTGGTGTGCATGGTCACATGTCAGAGTTCCAGGAAGTAAAGGGATATATATGAATCTGCCCTTGGTTAAAATGGCCACTTTGAGAAGAATGAGGAGGAAAAGCAAAGAATACAAAGCCGGCAATGATCTAGAAGTATGCGTTTGTAGATTGTCATTACTAAACATTTCTAAAAAGGTGCCTTTGTGCTCATTTCAAATATATGGGTAAAGTTCCTCTTTACCGAGCGTCAAAACTGATGTGGTAATACACCACCCATGTGAACCTGGCCTTTAACCAATGCTACATGTGATCATGACTGGGAAACATGGAACACTTCCTATATTCCCCTGAAAATTATTTCCCTAGAATTAGTATACAAGGTACAACATACCCAACCTTACTGAGGGTCTAATACAACTCTAAAGTCCATGATAAAACCTAAAAGGATTCCAATCACATCAATGCTGGAAAGTTCCAGCACAATCACATAACATAGGCGCAGGTGGATGAGGACCTGAGCTGGAGAGTGTTGGGGATGCAGAGGGTTTATTGGCACCTGGGAACAAAGGGGTTAAAATAGCACACAGTCTGGGCTTTATTCTGTATGGATTTGTCCACCTCTGGATAGGAATTTCATGATAACGCAGAGCCCAAGATTCAGGTTGCCTAATTTCGCTGGCTGCGGATCCACACAACGGACCTAGAAGGTGCTGCAGATTCACACAACGGACCTAAAAGGGTGCTGCGGATTCACACAACGGACCTAAAAGGGTGCTGCGGATTCACACAACGGACCTAGAGGGTGCTGCGGACACATCTGGGATCTGCAGATGATCAGAATACGAGTCAGTCAGTCACAAAGTAAGTTTTTGTATCTCTGATCACAAGATTATACAACTGTTTACAAGCAGCAATGTCGGGGGACAGTTTAGAAGACGCAGCAATGTCGGGGGACAGTTTAGAAGACGCAATAGAGACCAAAAATATTGTTCCCAGCAGACTTATTTACTCCACCTCCACCGACTCCCCCCAAAAAAGGACAACTTCATCCCGTCCCAGGTGAGGCAGAAGATAAAAGTTGTTTCCTAGAGCTTTCCACAGCCATGAACAATAAAACCGGGGTGGTGTTTTGTGCAATAGAAACAGCTCCTCCAGGAGTCCCTTTAAGCGTCTGTGACGCATTTAGAAAGATGAGCGGTTTCCCATCAGTATGGATAGAATCCTCCATTTATCAGTCTGCAAGACAAAAGGAAACACGAGAGTCAGCCACAATAAAGAGACAACGGCTGTGAATGCCTGCTGATGTCGGCTGTACAGATTTATGAGTGACCGCTCTGGAATTAAGCTTTCCCACATTCGATGTTGCTGCTATCTGCTTTGAGCAGATGTTCGCCCGGGCCGGCTTTCATTTGTTTTATAGAAGTAATGATTATAGAGAACACAAGGACTACATGGTGCAGACACAACAGCCCCAGGGCAAGCACATGCTATAAATCCAGATGTTTGTACTATGCATCCCAGACAGTGTGTGGGATAAAGGAGCTCACGTTCTCATATATGGTTTGATTTAGAGTTACTTGGAAGATCCGCTGGTACCTGTGCAGACATTTAAGGTGAACCAGTATCAGGTTTCAAGATTGTAAGACTATGTTCGCATATCGGCGATCCAGGGACGCACGTGATCGTGCATAATTGCACACAGCGATTGCCGCATGGCCCCATTGATTTCAATGGGGATATACCCACGCGGGAATCGCTGAAAAAAGTTATATACCTTTTTTGTGACACGCACCATGCGTTTTTTTTTTCCAGCGGCATCGGGAAACCGTGCAATCTGTCTAGCGCGACTGGGGTGCTATTCAAAAATAATGGCACCTCCAGTGCGATTGGCTGTGGTGTGCGATTCTATGACCGCGCGTTCACAGATCGCCCTAGTGCGAGCCTATCCTAAAACACTTTCACTGTATTGCAAGCACCTACCTTTGTCAAAATGTTTGATCAGTACCTACATTTGATTGGATGCAGGTGATGCTCAGCCAACAATTTTTCATTGGGCTCCTTTAGTTCGGTTAGCTTTAGGACCCGTTCACACCATCTGCAGCGCGTTCCGGCCCGAACGCACTGGATCGCATTGCAGCTGGCTCACTTTGTTGTGGGGCGTGGCAGTCCATTGAACTTAATGGCACCATAGCCACGCCCTGCAGCCGCCATGCGATCGGCCGCACGGGAGCCCAAGGCAAAACAATGCCTGTGATCCGGTCAGAAAAAATGCTGCAAGAACTATTTTTTCTGACTGGACCGGACCGCATGCATTCATGCATCGCATTGCGGCTGGAGGGCGTGGCTGCGGTGCCATTCACTTCAATGCACCGCCATGCCCTCTCCAGCTCCACAACATAGTGAGCCGGCCACAATGCGATCCAGTGCATGTGAACGGACCCTTAGGCATTCTCTACCTCCTTGCTAAGTTATCCCGCTTGGGCCACTGATGTCATTGTTGGAGGTGGAGTACGAGTACCCAAAAGGAGTTTGGGTTTTTGAGGTATGTCCCATGTCATAGCAGGACGATAGGTTTTAGATAGCAGCTGGGACCTTATGATGCTTCATATACAGCGGCACAATTTGTTTGCTTGCTTTGGCCTTAATTTAGGGTTTCCTTGAAGAGTGTGTCCAAATTCAGGACATCTAAAAAGATCTGTTATGCTGGGAGAAATCTTGTCTGTAATGTTCACCAACCCCAGGAACAGCTTCCACATGTATGCTCCTGGACACAATAAGTAAAAAGTTCCCCAGCTAGATCGCTATATTCATGGCAGACCCCGGAGTCCTCTCCCCCATGACTGTACACACCCATAGATTTATAGTAAGCACATACCAAGCGTAAGGAAGTTGTGCAATGCATGTCTGCAAACAAACTTGCAACCACAGCAATTCTATTATATAGAAGTAGATGTAAACGTATAAACAAAAGAAAGAAACCAACAGAGTCCTGACCCCGATCTCAAGCCAATCATGCCGAGACTGGCTTGTTATAGGGAATGTGCTGCCCCAAAGACTATCAGAACTGAGTACCTACAGCAGGGCTGGGCAAACTCCAGCCCTCCAGCTGCTGTGGAACTACAAAGCCCATGAGGCATTGCAAGATTCTCACAGCTACAGGAATGACTCCCAGAAACAAGAGGCATCGTGGGATTTGTAGTTTCATCACAGCTGGGAGGACCAGAGTTTGCCCACCCCTGATATACAGCAATACCGCCCCTAAAAGGATAAGTAATATGACAGATACAGTCGCTGCCATACAACTGTATATTTTCCTTATCACACTTATTTACCATCATCAATCGGAATTGGATTCGGTTCCATCTTAAGAGTCTTTGTTAATCTCTGAAAAGATTTCTCATCTGGATCTTTGTGCTCCACTTCACACAGAAACACGTCAATTGGGCCCTTTGTGCTCTTTATATGAATCTCTATACAGTCCTGCAAAGAACACAATGCAAGCATTAGTCAATCACAATTACTTCCCCAAAGTATAATCAAACAGATATATTTGATTGCCCCGGGTTTTGCTTTAAGTAAACATGTCAGGAGAGAAATTGGAAGCCAACACTGCTAGGCGTGGTTAAAAATGCTAACTGCCTGGCTGTCATACTGATCCAGCGGCTAAGACCCCATTCACACTGAGCGACATGCAAATCGCGCGATTTTGAGCGACAAGCGATTCTGAGACAATGACCCACACCAAGCATGCAGATAAATATTCTGACTTCCCCAATTTGCATATTTGTTCCAGATTAGTGAACTCAGGAGTCAAATCTTAAAAATACATCCAACTACCTTAACTATTAACAAAAATGTATCTTATATGTGTATCACTCGGCTGTAGATCCTCAAATCACCTCTGAATTGGTGCTGACACTGTCCTTCCTTCTGGAGGGGGGCTACTCTTGTTCCCCATGGTCCCTGTGTGTGCTGTAAAGTAGTCACCACTCCAAGCTCGCTCCTGTGATGGACAACAATCTCATGTTTAGTTTACCAATTTGTATTGAGATTGTAGTCTATCACGGGAGTGAGCTTGGAGCGGTGACTACTTTACAACACACACAGGGACCACGGAGAACAAAAAGTAGCCCCCCTCCAGAAGGAAGGACAGTGTCAGCACCAATTCAGAGATGATTTGAGGATCTACAGACAAGTGATGCACAAATAAGATACATTGTTGTGAATAGTTAAGGTACATGAATACATTTCTAAGATTTAACTCCTGAGTTTAGTGTCACTTTAAAAGTACCGAAAGCTCAAGCATCAGCGTCACAGCCAGGCAACTAGCATTTTCAGAACATGCTCCGCAATGATAGCTTCTCTCACGACACGCTTACTTTAGTTTTAAGGTACTTGCCTCGCTGGGTGCTGGGACTTCTAACTTGGTTTCTTCTGGGGCTTTCACAGCAATGATCATCTGCTCGTGGTATTCTTCAATACTGTGCAGGTCTTGGTACGTTACATAGGCCAATGTGTTTCTTCATTAAGGATAATGAACGTCAGGAATCTGCCCATCACCAGACACTAAGCAGCACCCAATATAGGGGGGAAAAAGAAGATCTAGCCCGTGGTATTAACCTGAGCAATAGCAGAACGTCATGTGTAGTCCTGACCAAGTTTAGCCGTTGCAAACAATGTAGTTTGATTCAACAGTTAAAGAAGAACTCCAGGAATGTTTTTAAATGAACCCTTGCAGTGGGGCTACCCCCACACTAGAGCTGCAACAGTTTTCGATTAAGTCGATTAAAATCGACGATGGAAAACGTTGTCAACGTTTTCCATTGTCGATTCATCGGCTAAAATTCAAATTTCCCGCTCGCCGCTGCACGCCGCTTACGCCACGCCCATGTCGTTTAAGCCGCTCGCGCCTACGCCGGTATACCCGCTCACGCGACGCCGCTTACGCCACGCACACGCTGAGGACATGTGTCTGGCCCTCTCCTCCCGGTGAGCTGCCCGATTCGCCGCTGCCCGCCGACATGATCAACGCCGCTGCCCGCCGACAACACCAAGGTAAGTGGAGATCGGCCGGGAGCTTTTTAATGCTGCCTGTGTGTGTGTGGTTTTTTTTTTTTTAAAGCGGCACACTGCAGAACATTATCAGCTATAGAGGAACACCAAATAAATCTCAATAGAAACTAGTAGTCCATCACTGGAGCCTTTTTTTTTTTTAAATCCGATTAATCGAACCTAATAATCGGCTAACTAATCGATTATGAAAATAATCGTTAGCTGCAGCCCTACCCCACACTGAAAGGGTTAACTGCTCATTTTTGTCTAGGTGGTAAAATAAGAATTATACTCACCCGAAGCTCAGAGCCGGCCAGCTGTCACTGCTCCCTGCAGCCTGTCTCCCCCTCCCTGCAGCATTGGAATCTTTTTCAGCATCCTCACATCTTTACACTGTGTATAGACATTAAATGGAGAACTATGGGGTTAAGGCTTTTCCCCATAGTTCTCCTAAGGGTAAGGGAGGACACAAACTAGCGTCCTCCCGTCACCCTAAGCTCAGTATACCGCGAGCTACTGCTCGCGGTATACTGAGCCTAGGGGGACGGGAGGACGCTGAAGCGGATCCCAACAATTATGTCTGGATCTGCACAGCTGCCTGACTGACAGCTGGCTCTGCCTATCTAGAGGCAGAGCCAGCTGAACCCGCCCCCTCCCCCAGTCAGCGCTGGCGGATCGGAGCGGGTAAGGGGGAATCCAGCCCCCCCGTCACGGCAGAGAGCCATGACAGAATCGAGAGGTGAGTGAACGCCGGTATATGTTCGCTCACCTCACGATCTACTGAGCCGACCTGTGACAGTCTCATTGTCACAGGTCGGCTAGAACTATGAGGTGAGTGAAAAGCACTCACCTCACACTTCTCCTTTAATGATTTTAGGGGCCTTAGACTGCAGCAGAGGAGGAGAGACGTTGTAAGAAGCGGTTTAAGAAGATGGCGGCACAGAGCTTCGGGTGAGTAACTTTTTTTTTTTTTGAGCCTAGACACAAATGAGCACTTAACCCTTTGCAGTGAAAGGGTAGCTCCACTGCAAGGGTTAATTTTTTCTTTTTCCGGGAGTTCTTCTTTAACCAACTGCTGCAATTAGGAACAAGCAGAAGGGACATTCAAGTATTGTGAGATCTGCGGATTAACTATAATTTTAGATTATTCCAGTTCACTGGCACATTTTCCATCATTGGGAGTTTCTTCTACATCTGAGATGGAAAAAAGGATATTTCCTGTTTGCGCGGTTTTCTGTTAGCCGGAAGAGTTGTTGAGCACAGTCTCTGATTAGGTCATCCAAGGCTTCTTCCATAGCGGAGAGCTCGCTGATGTCATTGCGGATCTGCTGTTGCTCCGTGATCTCCTTTCCTATTTGATTCAGGTCTGCCCCCCTTCAATGAGAATCAACAGATTAGAGAGAACGTTGAGAAGAGCATACAGATATGAGCACAATGTTCATCATCAATCTACTGACACTTCTTTGTATGTTCAATATTTAGATAAATGATAGTTAGGCCACATTCACACAGCGTAGAGTGGGGCCGTACAGATCAGTGTGGCGTGCAAGGACGCATCGGACCCTTCCCTGGAGGGACAAGTGCTGCGTATGATTGTAGGAAGCAGCATGTTCTTCCCTGTAGGGGGACGCAGCTGTATGATGTCGTACGCTGACCCGAGCTGCACATCCGTGCGGGTGTCCGTGCTCGGACGCAGAAAGGATCCATCCTGTCTGCGTCCGAGTACGGACACCCGCACGGATGTGCAGCTCGGGTGAGCGTACGACCGCATCCCCCCATAGAGAAGAACAGGCTGCTGCGTACAATCACACCTGTCCCTCCCGGGAATGGCCCGGCGTGCACGGATCTGTACGGTCCCACTCTACGCTGTGTGAATGAGGCCATGAAGTTAAAGATTGATATGTATGTTAAATGAGAGGAAGCTCAGAGTGTCCACAGTCTTTCTATAGGGACAGCCAAAACGTCCTTCCACTTTAAAATTACACAGAGACATCTAAAGGGTAAAATACTTATTATAAATGTATTTTTCGCTATGCTGTGTGAATAGGAACATATACTGCCTGGCCCCCCAAAAAAAAAAAAGACACCTCCTGGATTTCGGGCAGTGTTATGATCTGGGGTTGCTTCAGTTGGTCAGGTCCAGATTCAGCAACATTACGTCCCCAAAAAATGAGGTCAGCTGCCTCCCTGAATATACTGAATGATCAGGTTTTTCCATCAATGGATTTTTTTTTTTCCCTGATGGCACATTGGGCACATTCCAAGATGACAATGCCGGGATTCATCGGGCTCAGATTGTGAAAGAGTGATTCAGGGAGCATGAGACATCATTGCCACACAAGGATTGGCCACCACAGAGTCCAGACCTGAACCCCATTGAGAATCTTTGGGATGTGCTGGAGAAGACTTTACACAGAGGTCTGACTCTCCCATCGTCACTACAAGATCTTGGTGAAAAATTAATGCACCTCTGGATGGAAATGAATGTTGCGACATTGTATAAGCTTATCGAAGCGATGACATGGCGAATGCGTGCCGCAATCAAATCTAAAGGCCGTCCAACGAAATATTAGAGTGCGTGACCTTTTTTTTTTTGGCCCGGCAGTATATAAATTTTACTGCAAAAGCAGAAATACACTTTAGAGCTTGTTAGCGATTAATTTCGATTTTAGGAGTATAGTTCTTTCCTTTCTCTCTCGGATAGAAAAATGTAAATCATTATTTGTGTGTATCTTCTGGATTAATACAGAGAAGTCTTCTCATGAACATCGTTTCTCTGAGTTCCAGAAAATAGGTGTCCGTGCCTTCCTCTATGTGCCGTACCTCTGTCACCGAGCGTTCACACTATTGAATGAGGGGGGGAAATGTTCGATGGCCGAGAATTTTTGGACTGCCTCCTTCAACAAGTTGATAAAAAAATTGATTAGTCGAGTGGGGAGATGACAAGGCCACCAACGGCTGGAGTTTCCACCGATTCACCCGGAATCTGACGACATTTGAGCAGTATATTTCCAGCATTATTTTAGGTGTACCAACCCCAACATGCCCCGCTAGTAGCTGGACAGATATCCTGGGATGGCTACACCAACAGCTGGAAGGGCACACACCGCCCCCGCCTCTGTATGTAACATTACAAACATTTTATCTGCACTGCAATATGCAGGACGTATGCCGCAGACACCACCACTCTACAGAATACATTTGCTGTGTAATAATATGCTCTAATTCGTTCCCTGTAGATACCCAACAGTCGCTTATGGCTTTCAAGGCCATTATCATTACAAAGGCATCTCCCTGAACGCCACTTCCCTTCCACTGATCGCATTATCACTGCTAATCAATCCCATTAAAAAGGCTTTTAACTAAAAGACAATGCCTTTGTCATGCATTACGATGCTATTTCTTGGTTATGTACAGGAATAAGATTGCCAGGACAGCATGTGTAGCATTACCGGGGCTTTCTACGCAGAAAGCAAATACAACACATGCAAAAACAGCAATAACTGAAAGAGGAACGCCAGGATTTGTTTCTATTAACCCTTGCGGTAGGGCTAGCCCTCACTCTGCAAGGGTTAAGCGCTCATTTGTGTCTAGGGGCTGAAGTAACAAAATTATACTCACCCAAAGCTCCGAGTTGGCCAGCTGTCGCGACAATCCCTCCATCCTGTCTCCTCCTCCCTGCAGCACATTGGAATCTTCCTCAGCATCCTCATATCTATACACAGTGTATAGACGTGGATGATTTACAGTGCCTACTCTGCAGAGGAGGGGGAGAGACCTTGGAAGGAACGGTCTAGGCTTGGAGCTCCGAGTGAGTCTTAGGCCTCATTCGCACAGCTTAGAGTCGGCTCGTACAGATCTGTGTGGCGTGCACGGCTGTATCGGGCCGCTCCCGGGAAGGACAGGTGCTGCGTGTGATTGTATGCAGCAGCCTGTTCTTCTCTATGGGATCCATCCTGACGGGATCCATCCTGTCTGCGTACGAGTACAGACACCAGCATGGATGTTCAGCTCAGGTGAGCGTACGGCCGCGTCCTCCCATAGAGAACAGGCTGTTGCGTACAATCACACGCAGCACCTGCCCTTCCCAGGTACGGAAGGATAGGGCCGTGCACGCCGCACGGATCTGTACAGACCGACTCTAAGCAGTGTGAATGAGGCCTAAGACTGCGTACACAACTAGTCGTCAGCGTTTTTGCTTACGTTTTGTTTAGCGTGCCATCTAACGTGTATCGCGTGGATTTCCGCGTGTGTTGCACATTTTTACGCCTGTTAGACACGCATATACAAATACGCACGTTTTAGTGAGCAGATTGAAATGCATTGCAGTAAATGAACAAACGTGCGCACAAGGTGTAATGATGTGCACAGAAACGTGCAAACGGCTTGTGTCGCAAGTTTTCATGCGTTTCCATTGAAGTCTATGCTGCGTGCTGTAATCTGCCCGAAAGAAGCTCATGTACCTTTTCCAACGTTCTGCGTTTTACAACTTGCAACAAAACTCTCGGGTGTGAACAGGGGCCATAGCAATGAATGGGATTTCTTGTGTTGAGAGTTTTGTTGCCCTTCGTTTGGAGCGTCAAAACTCCCAGGTGTTTGTTTAAACCTAGACACAAAAGAGCAGTTAACTCTTGCAGCGCGGGGGTAGCCCTACTGCAATGTTAAAAAAGAAAATCCTGGGGTGCTTCTTTAAATGTGCAAGTCACTGAAAACTGATGTGTAAAATGAAGGAGGCCGGTGGGAAGAGAGGTCTGCTACTTATTTGTGTGACTTCAGCAGTGGTAAGGTTATACTACTTTACATTTTTGCCTCTGTTCTCACTCACCTTGTAAGCTTCATGCTTTGTGCTATGCAATGGATATTCTCTTCCCTCCCGCTTTCAAACACAAAAATATGTAAAAATTCCAAAATTGAGAGAGTGGAACCCCCC